TTTACCCAAAAATTATTGAAGATATCATAAGACACATCATAAGACACTCAATACCCTTTTTTCATTATTACTGCACCATATTTAATGGGGTTCAAATATGGTTTGAACCATGGGAACTCCTGCAAGTGTGGTCAGAGGCTGCCCTAAAAGTCCCTATCCTTCTCAGAGAGCCCGGCAAGCTACCTAGAGTATCCTGCCTGCATGGCAGAGCCTGGCAAGCTATCAATGGCATATTCGATATGCCAAAAACAGTAAACACAATGGGTTCATTCCTCTGACCCTGAAAGAGCCCCCAATACAGCAGCGTTAAGAAGGATGAGCAAAAAGAGGCTGATAAAATCTCAGAAACAACTAGGCTGCCAAAACAAAGAAAGACAAAAATGACTGTCTGTACTTTTAATGCACATACACTGGCATCGGATGCATCCATGGAGGACCTGATGATACAAGCGCAAAAGATTAAGTATGATATCATTGGTCTGACCAAGACAAAAAGGCATCAATCACATCATGCCTTTTTCATGACTGTAGAAGAACTGTTCCTCAGAACATGCGTCTAAAGAGACGTCGGTAGTGTCGGTGTCCTTTTCAACACGAACTTGAATGAATTGATTGATGCCATGAGCATTGATTCATTCAAATGCCTAACAACCCGAATCGGACAATTACACTTGAATAGATGTGACTCACTACCGGCAGTTTCTGTCTTCGTTGTCTATGCATCAACATCCAATTGCAATGAAGGAGAAATTGAGAAGTTCTACATGGAGCTGGAGAAATTCTATAAAGAAGACCACACCTTCTACAAGATCAGTGTGGGTGATTTTAATGCCAAGATGGACTGAGAAGATCAGCCGAAGAACTCTACATCGGGAACCATGGCCTATAAATGGAACGAACAGGGTGAGAGACTGTATAGTGGGTGTGGATACTCAGATTCTTGTTTTCAGTAGTTAAAACTGAGAAAGGCTGGGACATGAGACAAAAACTGGGAACACTGGTGCAGGGAAGTTGACATCAGTGGTGAAATAAGCATCAGACTATTGTATGTCTGAAACTTAACTATGAATAACATTGTGAATAATTATGCCTCAATTAAAAATTAAATAAAAGTTGTTAAACATTTTTGAAAAAGAAAATGCAAAAATAAGAAGTGAATGTTTACTTTGCAAAGATGTATTTCTCTTAATGGAAATTTTATCATTGGACTTGTTAGGGCTGACACGATAGCTCAGCAGATAGGGCGTTTGCCTTGCAGGTGGCCGACCCGGGTTCAATTCCTCTGCCCCTCTCAGAGAGCCCAGCAAGCTACCGAGAGCATTCTGCCCGCATTGCAAAGCCTGGAAAGCTACCCTTGACATATTTGTTATGCCAAAAACAGTAACAACAAGTCTCACAATTTGTTGTGAGACGTTACTGGTGCCTGCTCGAGCAAATGGATGAATAACCGGAGGACAGTGCTACAGTGCAGGACTTGTTTAAGTACCCTGATTTCTTCTCAGGTATTTAAAGCAACATTGAATTTTTAAAAAAAGAAAATGAAACTTACTAATCATCATAAAATATAGCTAGAAATATTTTTTAATGCTGATGTCAAATGCTAAAAGATATATCATCATCTTTGAGCACTGAATAATTAGAACTTTCATATATTACTTAATGTAATACTTTTAATAGTAATAAAACTGTGATTCAAGCATAAGTCTTGCTATTAGATCACAGTTATTAGATTATAACCTCTTATCTACAAGTATAATAGATTGATATACATAGTCAATATATCACCTATAAGGAAAGCATACCTAATTTTTAGGGGTTTTGTTTATTTGTCTTGGGACCACACACTGTGATATTCAGGCACATTGGCTCTGTGCTCATGGATCACTCCTGGCAGTGATCAAGGAACTGCAGAAGCAACCAGGGATCAAAACCTGGTAGGTCATATGCTAGGGAAGAACAATAGCTGCTGTACTATCTCTCAGGTCCCTGCTGTTTTTTAATATGCATTCCTTGGCATTTCCAAATTTCAAAGCAGATTAAAAAGTTACTAAGTAACACATGGTTAATTAACATAAGTGATAATGTGTGAATCATTGACTAATATCCTAATATATAGAATACGCCAAAGTTAAACAAATATTAGAACCGTAATTGTGTGCTTAGTGTTAAGGAAATATCCCTTTAAAGTATATTATCTCTTCATGACATTTTGCCATATGACTAATTCAATTACTTTTGCTGTCTTTAATGATTACTCTTAGTTCAGTGTAAGTAATTAATCATAATTGATGTTTTAGGTTAAGTTAGTTAAAGTAGCTGGGTTAAGACTTCTTATCTATAAAATATGTCCTATAATATTTTGTAATATGTAGGCTATAGTTCTATTAAGATTAGCAGGCTGACTTAAAAATATAATGCTTAGAGCACATTTCTTCTATACCAAATTTATTGAGTATTTTTTAATCATAAAAGGGTGTCAAATACTGTTAAAATATGTTTTTCTACATTGAGTTGTCTCATTTGATTATTCATTTTTTAATATTCATTATTTTATTGAGAATTACACTGATTCATTTCCATGTGTTGAATCATTATTGCATTATAGAAATACATGCCATTAGGCCAAAATAGAAACATTCAAAAAATTAAAAACTAGGAACCATAGATTGAATAGTGGAGTTCAGGTGGAAAAAAGTATTTAAGGAAAGGAAAAGGAGGAAAAATAAAGAAGAGAAACTTCTGGATTTTGATAGGAATCTCCTCTCCCTTTTTGTGGCTTTTTAAAACAAATAGAAGGGTTTGAGTGTTTTTCATTGAGTTTAAAATATTGGGCAGGTAAAAATGACTTACTCTGTTATCCATTCTCCTAGGTTATTGAAGTCAAAGAGCCTAGGTCATTCCAGCTACTGGATACCTTATAAGGCTACTTTTAGGACAATAATTGCTTTTCCAATGGTCGTATTCCTTGTCTACTCCCATATTTAATGATAGAACACTATCATTAAATACAGTGTTCTAAATTTTTTGTGACTTGCCTTTTTATTTTTATTTGCTTGTAGGTATTTTTTTACTTTCCAGCTTAATTTTTTTATGGATACAGTACTTACTGAGAAAAATGTTCCTTAGTCTCCACATGCTTGAAGTTTTCTATTCTTTTGGCGATTGAGTTCTAATTTTATAGCGTTTTTTTAAAAAAAGATACTTGACGTGATTTTAATCATTATGTTTATTAATACCTGTTGTGTGTCCCAACATATATGATGTGTTCTTTAAAGTTATTTATTCATGGGGGCACTGGACTGGGCAGTTCCATCCCAGCTCCCAGTCAGCCTCTGATCCCGGAAGTCACTTCCTCAACCCGCCCCCAGCGTTATCTTGCTGCACAAGTGGTGAAGAAACCAGGCCAGAAGGCACCACAACACCTGGAGAATTCTCCAGGCCCCATACCAAGCCAATATCGCTGGGAGGTCCCAGATGGTTCAGGTGCAGTCTTCCTGCCTTCTCCAAATGGAATCCTGGCAACCCTGAGCTTCTACAAGCATGGCTCCAGTATGTGGGCACCAGGACTATGCAGCCGCATGACCTTTCCTGATATGCAAAGTGAGCAATAGAAAGTAAATGATCTAGCATCTGTCCCTGGAAGGCAGAATTGAATGGTGGTGGGGGAATTTGAGCAAAAAAAAAATGCCCAACAGAAATGCATCTGGACTGTGCATTAAAGTACGACACCATGCAGCCTCGGAAGGGAAAGGTCGTTTGTCCCTTCACCTTTTCCCCCTAGTGGCAGCGGCATGGTAGGTGTCATCTTTCAGAACCAGGTATGAGACTGCAGTGATGAGACATGTGGGACCTCATGGGATGGGGTTCCAGATGGGTCAGGTGCAGTCTCCCCGCCTTCTCCAGATGGAATCCCAGTGACCATAAGCCCTGACAAGGCCCTGAGTTGCCACCCACAAATGTCTCCTCTGGCTCCTGAACAGCCATGATCCCAGAGGCACACAAACCAATCTCGGATACCTCCAGCTTTGGCAAAAATGCATCTGGACTGTGCATTAAACTATGGCGTCATGCCACCCTGGGAGGATAAGGATGTCTGTCCCTCCACCTTTTCGCCCTGACAGTGGCGGCATAGTGGCCACCATCTTTCAGAGTCTAACGGACAACCATGTATGAGACTGCATTAATGAGGCACGTGGGGCCTCATGGGATGAGGGGTGGAACCGGCTCTGCTCCTCACCCTGACAAAGCCCCGAGTTGCCACCCACGAATGCCTCCTCTGGCTCCTGAATGACCATGATCCCAGAGGTACACAAACCAATCTCAGAACCCAATGGCTTTTGGCAGTAATCCCTCGATAATTATTACTAGAATATCAGAAATCCAAAATCGTGTGGCTGCAATAATGGCCATGACATCATATGCTCTCCATAACCAGCAATAGAAAACAAATTATCTAATGATGTTTTTTGGCAGGTCCGATTGTTGCAGAAAATTCCAAAAAATAATGGTGGGTCTTTTGTTGTAATATTGAATGTGATCAACATAGAGAGAGAGAATAAAGTGGAAATCTGCCGCACAGGCAGGGGTAGGGGGGTGAGGGGGGTATACTTGGGTTATTGGTGGTGGAAAATGTGCACTAGTGAAGGGATGGGTGTTTGATCATTGAATGACCGACTGAGACTTAAACTGTAAGGCTTTGTGGCTGTTCTCACAGTGATTTAATAAATAAAAAAGTAAAAAGTAAAAAAGTAAAGGCCCTCCCGTTGATCCTGTTGATTTGCTCGAGCGGGCCCAGTAACGTCTCCATTGGAGACTTTGTTGTTACTGTGTTTGGCATATCGAATACGTCACAGGGAGCTTGCCAGGCTCTGCTGTGCAGGCAAGATACTCTCAGTAGCTTGCCGGGCTCTCCGAGAGGGGAGAGGAATCAAACTCAGGTCGGCCATGTTGGCTGCGTGCAAGGCAAACGCCCTACCGCTGTGCCATCGCTCCAGCCCAGCTCGCTTCAGCAGCACATATACTAAAATCGGAACGATACAGAGAAGATTAGCATGGCCCCTGTGCAAGGATGACATGCAAAAAATTAAAAAAAAAAAAATAAATAAAACAAAAACACACACAAAAATGTTATTTGTGTGCTTAAAAATGTAAATTTATCAGTTTGTCCTAATTTGTCATTTATAACTGTTATTTTCTTATTCATTCTGTGTGTATCTGCTCACTACCTCTCCTTTCCCTTTTTTTCCTATGCATTCCTTCCACCTCTTGTTTTCATTGCTGCTTTTACTTAAAGCCAACCTCATCAGTGTCAGGTTATATGTCATTTAATTCTTAAATTCCTTGATGATCAGTGATGATGAATAATTTTGGATGGACCTATTGACCACAATATTGAAACTAATCTTGTTCTGTTTCTTCTCTATGTGAGCGAAGGTATTGTTCTATCCAAGATCAAGTACATTGTGTTCTTTATTGATTGACTTCAGGATGCATTGGGAAGTCTTTGTTTGAAATGCTAACCCTGTCTTTGGCTGGTGATGGTCTTTATTAGCTCCGTTGTACTTTGAGTCCTCCTTTGGCATTGGTAACTAGTGCCAGCTGTTCTGTTTGACTTTCCTTGTGCCCCTAAAACAGCTAGCTTTAGAAAACTGTCAAATCACCTTCTGAAGACTCAGTTACTGCTTCATCTATGTGACAATGCCCCATGTCTCTAGCTCTTTCTTCTCTTAATCTTTGTAATTAACGTAACATCAATTAACTTTACCTATAGAATTTTTGCATTGTCAATTTTATTTTAATATGTTTATTTTTCCTTTCAGGTGATGACCAATGTTCACAGATAGCTTCGGATAGGATTGGTTTTGGCGCTTTCCCAGGGTTTGCTATATTGCTCATACATGCTCACATGCTCCCAGCACAGGTCCTTGTACATCTTTTTTGTTGTTGCATTAACTTCTGGGGTGACACACTCTAGTTGCAATCTATGCACACTCCTGGCTGCAATCAACTGGAAAATGCACTTTTTCCTACATCTGCAGCTTTTCAACTGCATAATTGGGCACATTTTAGACTCTAAAGTTGTGTTGTAGAAACTATGTTTTATATATATCTGTATATCTACATTTCTCTCATTATATAGACAGAGGGAAAGAAAAGATGAGGAATTATATAACAGTTTAAATTTTTCACCAAGATGTGATCCCATCATTTCTGCTCCATGTCATCCATGTCATTTCCATGTCCATGTCATTTCTGCTCCATATCCATGTGATCCCATCATTTCTGCTCCATGGTGGTGGTGGTGCCATCTAGCTATTTTCTATCCAGGCCATGTTCAAGGGCCACAGGACCAAAGTGGAGGTACTCATGGGCTGTGCTGTAAATTGCTGGCATCAAACTTAGAGCTTGTGCATGCAAGGTACCTGCTCTATCATTCAGACATATGGGTGCCATTCTGTCCCTGCTCATATTTCCTTGACAAGAGAGATGGATACAGCTTCCCTAACTTCTAAATATTATATAGGTATGTTCCTTCCTATACCTAAATGTAGGCAATAGAAAATAACTAGCGCAGTAATTCAGTACTATTAAAAATGAGATACTCCTCTTTGCAGTAAAGGATAGTTTTTGACACAGTATTTACCCAGTGAAACTTAATGCACATCATGAAGGACAAAGTCAGACTGAAAATGTGACTTAAGTAGAAACATGTTAGATATTAACTTGAAATGTTTTAGGCATTATCAGTTAATTGCTCCTTTTCCTCCTTCCAGAGAAGCTTACTGTATCTCACTAGTATCCCTCATTTAGTTAAAGTTTATTTTTAACCTTTCCTTTATATTTTACCTCTCCTTGTCACAGTTCCCCAAGTCAATCTTGATTACTTTAGCCAAAACTTTTTGGTAATTCTGGGCTTTGTATTTGAAGGGCTGTATATTTGTACCTGCTTTTCTATTTCCCCTATAGCCTTTTTATATTTTACTATATTGCAATGTTCTTTGGTTTAACACAGAAAGGCCATTAATACTAATGCTCCTAATATTTGGGAGTTGATTGACTGAGATATAACTACTTCTGGGCATTAGTCATAATTACTTCACTAAATTTCTATAGTTCCTAACATCCCAAAAGGATGGTCCCACGTGGGATTGAGAGGAGCCGGGGCAAGCGGCAAATCTACCCTCTCATGGAAATGGGACAGTCTAGAAAGTATAAATGCATGGTCTTGATGCAAGCTTTTATGACTTAAGAGACAGGACCCTAATGGGGAAAGACAAGCTGAACTGGCCTGAGGAGACTTGGGGATTTATGGTAAACTCTTTGCTTGCTCTGAGAACCCAGAGAACTAAATGTTGGGATCTTTGTCTCTCACTGTGTTTATCCAAACAACTGCAAATATTGATGATAGATACAACTTGAGGGAAAGATAAAAGCAATGTAGATGTACCTGGAAGATAGAGTGTCTGTCACCTTGCATTGATCACCTCAAGACAATTTCCTATGTAAATAATCTATGTAAACTTCCAGATGCTTTATCTATATAAATAATCAATCACACCTAGGTCCCATACCTCAATCCCCCTCAGATGTTCTGTAAGTATACTAGTAGCTCTGCATTAAAGGACCATTTTCACAGACCCACAGACTAATGGAACAGAGTTGAATATTCCATTACAGACTCTCAAATATATAATCACTTATTAGTTGGTAAAGAAGCAAGAAATGTGAAGCGGAACAAGGAAAACTTCAAAAAGTGGTGCTGGGAAAACTGGATAGCTATCTGCCCAAAAAATGAACTCTGACCTCCAACGTCAGGAACAAAAGTCAGGTCAAAGTGGATTAAAGACCTCAATATCAGGCATGAATCCATAAGATACATGGAAGAAAATGTAGGCAGAAACCTCCGTGACATTCACGCTAAAAGCATCTTTAAGGGTGAAATACCACTGACCAAGCAAGTGGAAACAAACATAAACAAATGGGACTACATAAAATTAAGAAGCTTCTGCACCTCAAAAGTAACTTGTATCACTTGTCACTTTTCACCCTGTTGATCTTTGAGCAGGTGCCAGTAACATCTCCATTCATCCCTGTTGCATGTTAGTATATCCAATTGGCTTCTGCCCACTCCAGGAACACAAAGAGACTCAAACCGTTTGTTCATGGTTTTGATGAAGAAGTCTGACCATCTTGTAGGTGGGTAGCCACGCATCCTTTTGATGTCTCGTGGAATCCAGGTCTTCAAAAGAAACAGTGACCAAAATAAAGAGAGAGCCCACAGAATGGGCAAGAATATTTACCCAATACCCATCTGATAAGGAATTGATACAGAGGATATACAAGACTCTAGTAGAATTGTACAAGAAAAAACCTCCAACCCCATCAAAAATGGGGAAAGAAATGAACAGATGTTTCCTCAAAAAAGAAATACAAATTTCAAAAATACATATGAAAAAAATGCTCCACATCGCTAGTCATCAGGGAGATGTAAATCAAAACAACAATGCCGTATCATCTCACACCACGGAGACTGGCACACATTCAAAAGAACAAAAGCAACCAGTGCTGGTGTGGATGTGGGAAAAAAGGGATGCTCTTTCACTGTTGGTGGGAATGCCAGTGGTCCAGCTTTTCTGGAAAACAATATGGACATTCTTTCAAAAACTAGAAATTGAACTTCCATATGACTCTGCAATGCCACTTCCGGGAATATATCCAGAGGGTGCAAGAAAGCACTGTAGAAATGACATTTGCACCTATATATTCATTGCAGCACTGTTTATTTTTTTTATCATTTTTTTATTAGTGAAACACCATGAAGTACACTTATGGACTTATAAATTTTTGTGCTTGGGTTTCAGTTATACAATGATCAAGTACCCATCCCTCCACCAGTGCCCATCCTCCCCCACCACGGGTCCTAGCATCCCTCCCACCCCCATCCCCCCCCCCCCCCCCCGTCCCACCCTGCCGCTGTGGCAGGGCATTCCCCCTTGCTCTCTCTCTCTTCTTTTGAGTACTGTGTTTTGCCAGAGAGGCATTGAGTGGCAATCATGTTTGGTCTATAGACTACTTTTAGCATGTCTCTCCCACCCTGGGAGAGTCTTCACAGCACCCTTTATTTGGTGCTCTCTTCTCTATCTGAGCTTCCTTCTCACCTAGCACATGTGGCTGGCCTTCAAGTCATGGAGCAAAATTCCTGGTACTAATCTGAGCCATTCCTGGGTGTTAGTCTCCCGTTTTGTTGCTTTATGTTCCCCAGATGAATGCAATCTTTCTGTGTCTATCCCGCTCTTTCTGACTCATTTCGCTTAAACATTTAAAGAGGACCTATTGCCAGTTCTTCTCAAGCTTTTCCAGGAAATTGAAAAAACGGAAACTCTCCCAAACAGTTTCTATGAAGCCCATATCTCTCTAATACCAAAAGGAAACAAAGACACCACAAGAAAGGAAAACTACAGGCCGATATCCCTGATGAACATGGATGCGAAGATTCTCAACAAAATACTAGCCAATAGAATTCAACAACTCATCAAAAAGATCATACATCATGACCAAGTAGGATTCATCCCAGGGATGCAAGGATGGTTCAACATCCAGAAATCAATCAACATAATCCATCATATCAACAAAAGAAAAGATAAAAATCATATGATCATATCAATAGATGCAGAAAAAGCATTTGACAAGATCCAGCACCCATTCATGATGAAAACCCTTGCCAAAATGGGGATAGAGGGGACTTTCCTCAATATAGTTAAAGCCATCTACCACAAACCTACAGCAAACATCATCCTCAATGGGGAAAAACTGAGAGCCTTCCCCCTAAGGTCAGGGACGAGACAAGGATGCCCACTCTCTCCACTGCTGTTCAATATAGTACTGGAAGTACTTGCAATAGCGATCAGGCAAGAAAAATATATTAAGGGCATCCAGATAGGGAAAGCAGTACTGTTTATAATAGCCAGAATCTGGAAACAACCTGAGTGCCCGAGAAAAGATGACTCGTTAAAGAAACTTTGGTACATCTACGCAACGGAATACTGTGCAGCTGTTAGGAGAGATAAATTCATGAAATTTGCTTATAAGTGGATGGACATCGA